CCCACACCCTATGTGCCTCTCTGAATTTGACTGATTATCCCTTTAAATGCTCCTGGCCAAATCCTTCCTTTGATTATGTCCATGCCATTTAAAAGTCAATAGAGCTATGTGTGCTCTTTTGTCTCAGGATAAAGAAATATGGATGCTTATTCGTCTTAATTTCAATCCACTTTCCATGTAAGCAGCTGTTTCAAAACTCTTGCTCATGTGATCAGATTATTAAACTACATGTCAATATATTTAAATTTAAATTGTAAAGGATTGTGCAGCTTTGGCCGTTTTGAAATCATTTTTACCATAAAGTTTCTTTTTATTATAAAATGCATATAGTTTTATTGAGGATTTAATCTGTATAAAACCAGCATTAGTGTAGAACTATATAATTAAAAGTAATATAAATTCCTTTTTTGTTTAGCCCTGTTATAGTGGAAATTCCACATTTTGGATCAATGCGAGGAAAGGAAAGAGAATTAATTGTCCTTCGAAGTGAAAATGGTGAAACGTGGAAGGAGCACCAATATGACAGCAAACATGAAGATTTAAATGAAATACTTAATGGCATGGATGAAGGTAAACACTTTATCAAAACTTTAACAATTTTTTTCTGCGCAATTGTGACAAGGTAGAAAACAGGTTAATATAAAAATAGGATCTTTACTATTTGTCTTGTGGAAAGCACATGGGAAAAACATGTTGGAGTAAGGTAATCGCCAGGAGTAATTCCTCAGTGTTAGTGTTAACACCTTTAGGCATAGCAGTAAGCTTTATTTGGAAGTCATGCTGAGCTTACAAGGTTATGCTGCCTAGTGACTTAAGGGGCAGTAACACAGTGAAGTGCATATTTCAAAAGACCATTCTACATGCATCAAAGAATACTTTTATTATTTAGAACCAAATTAAGATAATCCAGACAAAAAGACACACAAATAGGAGCTGTATTTGTCACATCTAGATTATGAGCCCACAAGAGTCCTCTACTGGTAAGGGAACAAGAGGGGTAAGGGAGGCTGGTGTGAAGTAATCCATTAAAGAGTCCCTCAGAACTTTTAATTTGGGGTGTCTGCTACTTCAAACAAATGTCACCAGTTTTGGTTGCATTCAAGTCACATTTTTCAGTTTATTCCTCAAAATCATGAGGACTAAAACATATTTTTGAAAGATATTTCAGATCTTTTATGTCATTGTGTGATGCCTACTTTTGTTGTCTTATAGCCATATAGCTAGGCTCACTGCAACAGGGATGCCAAAGGCTCTCAATAGATTTTCTGTTCTTACACCTCAGTTTGGGATATGTTCGTGTGGTAGTAGTTTTGGATACCCATTCAGGAACTACCAGTGATGCTGGATCTCTAGCATAGGTCAAAACTGGTTAATATTTGGAAGTGAAACATCAGTCTTAATTTTTCAGAGGAGGAGGAGGCATCTTAAAGCATTTTAATGTATTTTCGAAGACAGTGAGGTTTTCAGCTATGAATTTCTTATTACAAAATATTTTGAAGTGTTTTTTGATGGTGTTCCATGGGCCTATTCTTTCACATCTGACCATGAATGAAATATCTCAGGATCTGGGTTCTGATTGTGTCATGATATTTTTTATAGAAAAATCACAGTCTGATTTGGGTACAGTTGTAATGAAAGAATGTTTACACCCATGAGTACCAGAGGGACTGTTTACACCCAAATGACCAGACTGTACAGTGCAGCAGCCAGAGTAACCTAGATGAAACCAGCTTTAATACAAGTAGAACCCAGATACT